CCTAACAGGTGGGCAAGGGTGACCCACCCCATGGGATCCTGAGAGTATGGGACGCGGGTTTGGGGCCTGAGGTGACTACTGACATCCTGCGCTCTGCACCCCCAGACTTAGAGGAGGCCTGGCGGGGCTCACAACCCATCCCGTCCCTGGGCAGGCTCGTCTCCTCGCTCTCCACCCCACAAAGTCCTCAGGAATCAATGATGAAAAGAATCCCCTTTATTGTGGCCTCGAGGCGGGCGCGCGGTGAGCGCCCTGAGCGGCATGCGGAATGCAGCTGCTGCCCGGCGGGGCGGTGCTCCTCTCTGACCAAGCAAGCCCCCACGGCCTTGGCCGGAGCCCTCGGACAGGCCAGCCCCTCTGCTCGCCCAAACCGCAGCAGTCCTGGCTGGGTGGTTGCAGTGAAGGGGCCAGGCTGCCGTGGAGGGCTGCTTGGAGCTGCGCGCACGCTTTGCAGAGCGCGGGGCGTCGTCGGGCAGGCAGCTGGCTGAGCGGAAGCATCACAAAGAGACGAGGGCGTGGGAGCCCACACCTGCCAATCCAGCCCGAGCGCCTTGGCAGTTCTGCGTCTCTTGATTAAACATCCAAGGAACATCAAGTTCACAGACATGTTTTCTTCATCATCTTCCTGCAAACACCCAGAATGGAGACGCAGAGAGCAGCTGTGAGGCTCCAGGGTCACCGGGCCCTTTCTGGGGAACGAGAGGGTTGGAGGAGGGGAGGGTGAAGGGCCCAGGCCTCAGGCTTTAGCAGAGGTGAGACAGCAGCAAAGGTGGGGGCCGGGCTAGTGTGGGAGCAGGAAGGTGTGCAGGTGTGTGCGGGTGTGTGCGGGTGTGGGCGCGTGCAGGAGTGAACCGCCGGGTCAGATGGCCCGGAGCACACGCTAAGCACTTGCTTTGCAAAGAAGAAGATGACCCAGCACAAAGGCCACCGCCACCACCAGCGCCCTGCCCACTGGGGACAACGTGGCCAGGAACCCTGAGCTTTGGGGCTGAGCCGGGACTTGGGCAGCAGCGCTGGCCCCCCACCTTCCAGTTCAGCCAGGGTTGGTCCCCATGCCCAACATTGCAATGCAGAGGGCCTCCGGGAGGTTCCCCGGCGTGTGGGGTGCCCAGACGTGGTGTGGCTCCTCTGGGCCAGGGCTGGGGGGCGGCGGGGCCGTAGCGGGCTCTCACTTCCAGCAATGCTCAAGGGAGCCATGGGACTGCAGCTTCAGCTTGTGGGGACAGAGCAGCTTGGTGAAGGCGCGGCGGAAGCTGTAATGGCAGAGCGGGTACAGCACGGGGTTCACGGCCGAGTTGGCCCACAGCAGCCAGAAGGAGGTCTCGTACCAGTAGTCGGGCACGCAGCGGCCATGGCAGGCGGCACGGATGATCATCAGAAGCGTGTACGGGGCCCAGCAGAGGCCGAAGATGCTCACGATGATGGCCAGAGACTTGGCCACCTTCTTGTCCCGAGACAGGCGGAAGCGCTGGGTGATGCCCTGGGACACCATCTTCATGCGCTTCTCCAGCGACGCCGAGGATGCCGACGGCTTGGAGCCCCGCTTGAGCGAGCGTGGCCGCTCGGCACCCCGTGGGGAGCTGCCGGAGCTGGAGGTGGGGGAGGCCGCAGCGCCACCTCCACTGCCGCCCCCGAGGGTGGCCTCTCCCACCTCGGTGCCGGCGGCCACCTCACCGACCCCGATCCCGGACCGGTGCAGGGGTAGGGCCTCCCGGGGGCCCTGGTGCCAGCAGCCCCAGCAGCCAGGCGGGGCTGGGGAGGGCTGGGTGTCCGGCTGTGCCTCTGGGCCAGGCACCTCTGGGCCGGCCGCCTCACGGGCTCCATCTAGGCGGTCGCGCGTACGTCTCTGGATGTTCAGGTAGATGCTCAGGTTGAAGAAGGTGACGCTGAGGAAGGGCGTGAAGAACTCCAGCGTGGAGGCCATGATCAAGAAGTACCAGTTGTAGAAGAATTCTGCGTAGCAGTGGCCCTCGGGGATGGAGCTGCCGCCGGATAGGTACTCCCAGCTCAGGATGGCCGGCCCGTAAAGCAGGAAGGCCAGCACCCACACCAGGGCCATCTTCCGCACGGCCCGCCGCGTGTCACCCTGCTGGGCCCGGTAGGAGACCTATAGCAGGGTGAGGGTCAGAGGGGAGAGGGCGGCGCCCAGGCTAGCCTCGGACACCTGGGTGCTGTCCCTGCCCCTTGCAGTGCCCCCTTCAGGGCTCAGCGCAATGCACCTCTGCCAAGGAGCCTCCTGGGCTCTCCCCAGAACCTCCCCCAGATCCCCCCGAATCCTAAAGGTGTTGACCCTCTCAGCTAGGAGCTCCCCAGGGTCCTGGCATCTCCCCACATTGCCAGCCCCTGGCTCTGCTTCAACCCCACAGGAGATGCCGTGCAGACGCTCTGCACGTGGCAACCTGCGCAACTGGGGGCCTGGAAGAAGCCAGGACAGGCCCATTCCTGGGCAAAGTGGCCTCCCCCGTATGCACTAAGCATCCTGGAGCCACAGCAGGACAGCTGCAGGGGGGCGGTGCCCAGCCAGCCCTCCCCAGGAGCCGGGCAGGGCACAGAGCGAACGGCTTGGAGGGGGTCAGGGTGGGCGGGCATCCCTGCCCAGCCAGGACAGGTGGCTCAGTGAGGGGGGCTCCTCGGGACGTCTCCTCGCTCAATCTGCACAGCAGAGCTATCATTATTCTGGCTTTCTAATGGCTGGGAAGTGGGGGACGCAGGTGGAGCGGCTCAGGAGGGCGGAGCTGGGGCCGCACCCAGGTCTGAGTGGCCCACCGTGTCCCCTGCATGTGGTCTGCCCCAGGGCCTCTCCAGGCTAGAGGGGAACATGGCCCCCTCAGCAACGGAGAGACCGCCGGGAGTACTCAGTAAAGGGGTGCCTTCTGCACCAGCCTCGCCCACCCCGTGTCCAGCAGTCACAGAGAGAGAACCCAGGCAGCCCCATGGCCCTGCCTCCTGCTTCCACGGCTGCCCACAGAGCTGGAGGCACTGCCTGTTCTCCGAGGTGGTGTGTGCATCTGTGTGTACTCGTGTGCATGTATGTGTGTGGGGGCATGTATGCACCATGTATGTGTGTGTGTGCGCGCACATGTCTTCAGGGGCATCTGAGTGGGTCCAGGTGCCTGTGCATGCACAGTGCATGTTTGTGCACACATCTGCATGTGCTCTGTGCATACATGTGTCGTGTGTGCATCATGCATGTGTTTGTGTGTGTGCACATGTGTGCATGTGCATGAGTGCACACGTACACATGGGCATGTGCACGTTGTGAGGCAAAAGGTGCAAATAAAGGTCCTGCCGAGGGCTGCTGGCCCCGCTCCTGCCTCAGCTCCGGGGCTGGGGAGCTGCCCTCCCGGACTGAGGAGCCCCGAGGCAGGAGCCCCCGGTCCTGGCCCCTGAGCCCCTCCCCTCACCTGTCCCAGGACTGGGCCTCTGGCAGCACATGGCTACCAAGTGGCCAGCTGTCGGGTCCAGGACACCACCTGCTGGCGACGCTCCCACCCCGGCCTCTCCCAGGCGCACAGCAGCACCCCGTCCCGGGACTTACAGCGCGGGTGACCGACAGGAAGCGGTCGTAGCTGATCAGCACGATGTTGAAAACGGAGGAGGTGCACAGCAGATAGTCCACGACCAACCACAGCTTACAGAGGCCTCGGCCGAAGGTCCAGCGGCCCGTGAGCACGTAGGGGACGTACAGGGGGATGCAGAAGGCGCCTGGGACGGAACACAGGGGCCGTGCTGCGCAGGGGCCCGGGCAGTGCCGCCCGCTGACCGGCAGCACTCCCCTCCCCCTCCCCCACACCTGGTCTCCCAGGGCACACCCTCTGCCCTGTGTCTGGCCTTTCATTCAACGCTCGCCCCCTCCCGGCTAGTGTCTCCAGCAGCTGGGGGCGAAGAGACCCACAGCCTGGAGTCCGGAAGGGCTTCTGTGCAGTCCTGCCCGGCCCCTAAAGGCGAGAGAATTGCCTCCTTCTCTTCCCGCCCGCTGAGCCCCAGCCCCAGGCTGGCCGTGGACAGCCCTGAGCACCGGCTCAGGCATCAAGAAAGCCTTTTCCCAGCGTACGGGGCACTTGCCTGCCACCTCACGCCAGCCTCGGCGCCGCAGAGCCCCGCAGACGCACCTCGCAACCCCAACAACAGGTGTCTGGCGCTCGGCCCCCTCGGCGCGCCGCCCCCCAGCCGGCGGCAGAGCGCGGACACGTGAGAGCGCGCCCGCTCCGAGCGTCCCCGCCCATCTCGCGGCCCCTCCCCCAGCGCGGCTGGGAGAACCCCTCTCCCGCGTCGCCTGCTCCAAACGTCCCCAATGGCCCTGCACGCGCGCTCCGTGCGCCCCGAGTCCCCGGAGCCTTTGCGTGGCCGCTGCGCTGAGCCAGCCCTGCACCCGCCGCCACGGCGCCCTTTGCCTGGCTGAGCGCCCGCCGCCCCGGCCCTTCCCCGGGGACACCACCCAGTATCCGTCCTGCGGCCGGAGCCGCGGGGAACTCAGCTCTCACCCCCGCCAGCGGGCCCAGGACCTCCCTCTGCAGCCGGGCCGCTGGCGGGGCCACGTGCCGAGCGAGAGGCCCCCGGGCGGCTCAGGCCCAGGTCCCGCGGGCGCGCGGGCGGCGCGGGGGCTTTACCCACGAGGAAGTCGGAGATGGCGAGGTTGAGCAGGAAGAAGTTGTTCTGGGTGCGGAGGCTGGAGTCGGCCACGAAGGCGAGCATGACCAGCGCGTTGCCCAGCACCGTGGCCACGATGAGCAACGCCATGAGCGCGGCCAGCACCGCGGTCCAGGCGGCCGAGAAGCCGCGCG